AATTTATTAATATATTACTATATTACTAAATTAAAATTTAAAATTTAATTTGGCTAATCCATTAAAGTAATAGTTTTCAAAATATTAATAATTCCATAATTTATAGTTTTCAAAAGAAAAGATAAAAAAAAAAATTCCATATCTTTCCAACCTAATCATCTCCTACTGATTTTTATTTCCTTTAAAAAAATTAAAATTTGTTTCTTACTATATTATTATATTATTTATACCATATATAATTACTTTCAAATTTTTAAAATGCATAATAAAAATTAGGAACCTTCCAAATATTTTGATTGAATTTACGGAAGGTCAAAGGGTGAGTTTATAGTGCATTCACACAAGTAATAATAGACCAAAAACATTGGAGACAAAATAATAATGTAAAATCTGTGTCACGATTGTATTTAAGATATTATTTTTTAGTAGTGCCTCTTGCTCATAAAAAAGTATTTCGAATTTGGAATTGTGGATAAAGTGTGGCTTTATAAAGGAAAGGGAATTGTTGTTCAAATAAATAAATAAATAAATAAATAGTTAAAAATAAGAATTTTAAAAAAATGGTAAGGGAAGGGAAGGGAAGGGGATTGGGGGTAGGGGAAGGGAAGGTAAGGGAAGAAGATCACCGGTTATTATTTCATAATAAAAACATATTTCATATCTTTTTAACCTAATTCTCTTTTATTGATTTTTATTTCTTTCAAAAAAATTAAAGGGAGACTTATTTATAAGTCCTTTTTCAGACACTTATACTAGGCTAAGTCTTGTATAATTTCTTATAGAGTCTCAAGTTCTATTTAGATAGGAATGTATTCCACAAGATCTTACATAAACGTAACGTGACATGACACTTACATAAACGTAACGTAACGTGACACCTATACGTAACGTGACACTTACATAAACTTAACGTAACGTGTCATGTTACGTTTCGCAAACTTAATGAGTTTTTATTTTTTTAAATTGAATGTGAAAATGTTGTTGGTTTATGTTGGTGTCACGTTACGTTTCATATAAATATGATCTATGGTGTCACGTTACGTTTATGTAGGTGTCATGTTACGTACAGGTGTCACGTTACATTTATGTAGGTGTCACGTTATGTTACGTTTATATAGATATGATCTATGGTAACATTCAATTACCTATATATGATTTTACTATTATTTATGATATTAACAACTAATATTGAGGGTAAATGTATTAACAAACTTTCCACAGGACTTATGAGAACATAAGTTTTTTAGTAGGACCATATGTAGCATAAGTCTCCCTAATAGGATTTATAAATTATTTTTCCAAAATTAAATTTGTTTCTTACTATATTACTATACTAGCGTATGCCCGTGCCTAAAGGCACGGTGTAAATAATTTTAAGATTAAAATGCAGTTATAATTTATACGTATTATGTTGAAATTTATAAAGTTTGTGTCATTTTTGATAAAGATACTGAAAAAATATATTGAAATATTTTTCTTCATAAAGAACTTATAACAATTTTGCTTGTATTACACGCTCTACAAAACTCAAATAAAATAACAACTCCCCCTAATCTTAATGCAAATTAAGAAACAAGCATATAAGATTTAAAGTTATATTGCATATCAAAATATAAAAGGCCGTAAAAAAAGTGTAAACACTGAACAAAAAACAAAAATAAAGTTATACTGTCATACACCAAAAGAGTAGGTTAAAACTTTATAAAAAGTGGGTTAAAACTTTACAAAAGATGTATGCTTTACAAAAGATGTGTCACTAACATGTCATACACCAAAAATTATATTGTCATATACCAAAAATATGTATGCTTTACAAAAGATGTGTCAATAACATGTCTTCAAATATGTGTTTGCCCAAACTTCCTCCTCATTACTTTCCAAAAAGTCTTTGTATCAACTTTTTTGTATCCCCAATGAGGAATATGCACAACAATCTGGTAATTTGTGGAAACAAAAAAAATATAGATTAGTACATTTGTTGGAAATATACATGTCAATGTTAGGTTTTATTTCTTGGCAATCCCGTTTGACAAAACTCCTTTGAGTTGTAATTTTATTCGCTCTTTTTTATTTCAGTGAGGCTATGAGTTTATTAGATGCGAATCCAACCCGAATTGTGCCGTTCAGAGAAGTTTGTGATGTTAATGCTTTCAAGATTGCCACTTCGCTGATTATTACGGGGGTCGAGCTGCCCGGTCAGCTCGCGGCCGAAGCAAAATGCAAAATTGCATTCAAAATTGCATGTCCGTCGTTGCTCGCTCGAGCCAAGGAGTTCTCGCTCGAGCTAGGGCTCGCTCGAGCCAAGGAATGCGCGCTCGAGCCAAGGATTGCGTCCATACAAAAACCTGAAAAAGTGTATTCCTCGCTCGAGCCAAGGATCCGTCGCTCGAGCCAAGGCACTAGTAGAAATCATGAAAAATACACTCCTCGCTCGAGCGAGCAAACCTTCGCTCGAGCGAGCCTCAGAATCCGGATTTCTCAAGAAGTTTGTTTTCTTCCCAACTAGGATTACTTTTGGTTCTCTATAAATACTTGGTTTTCTCCCAAAACTAAGGCATTGATTGAAATCCTCCAGATCTTCTTTTTGGTTCTTAAGGATTATATCTGCGGATATTTTGTTAAGTTTTCTTTGATGTTTTATTGAGTATTCAACTCATGGTTTAAAGAGAGTACATCAAAGGTTGTATTTTGTCTACAAAAGAGAGAGTTGTTCTTCGGTGGATTCTGAAGAATTCGAGCCTGAAGCTTTGGTGGATTCCGGGGTGGCTCATCGTAAAGACAATTCCGAGGTGAAGACGGGGTTGGAAGAGACACATAGAGGTTGGTTCAATTAGGCGTGGATTCACTAGGTAATTGAGAGTATACCTGTATAATTCCTTTAAATCTTCTTAGTGGATTGTTTTGTGGCTGTTGCCCGTGGTTTTTTTGATCACAGTTGGAGGTGTCCAATTGTGGTTTTTTCCACGTTAAATCGTTGTGTCTCTTTGTCTTGATTGTTTGATTGGGATTGTTATATTCTGCTTAAAATTGATACATAATCACAAATCAACATCTAGGGGATTTCTAGATTTTTCATACTTTGAGATTGAAATTACCTTATTACATCCCCATCGAAGGAAGGTAGTCGTATTTCTCCTTTTAAGCTCCATCGATTTTTCGGTCTAATCCTACAAAAGTCCAAATTTCAAAATATTATTAAATTGAAATTTTTTAAAAAGTTATATAATCAACAAAAATAAATCTACGTGGTTACCTTCTAATAAAACATCATTTAATCTGCATAGAATACTACAGCAACACTTCCGGATAAACAATATTTGTAGTAGAATCCAAATTATCTTTAGGGAGGAGAATACTTATACGATCAAAGGATGTACATCTAGACAATGCCACATATAATTGCCCATGGCTAAACACTGGTATACGCAAATCAACCCCAACAAATTTCACAGATTGTCCTTGAGATTTATTAATGGTCAAGGCATATGCCAATCGGACTGGAAATTGACGTCTTGTCATTTGGAAAGGCATTTCTGAAGAAGATGGTGTAAAAGATATCCTTGGTATGAATGCCAAATTGCTAAACTTTTCTCAAGTTAAAATTTGAGCTTCAATTATGCGAGTGCTGCACCTAGTAACCATCAATCTTGTACCATTACATAGTCCATCTTTTGGTGCAATGTTTCTCAACAATATTATAGGGCAACCCGCTTTCAACTCTAACTTAAAAGTTGGCAACCCAGGAGGATCCAATGAATTTAAATATTCATTAGGATATCTATTTGTAACGGTAGGATCAATTTCATTATCTTCAAACATTTTATCTGCTGTAAGATAAGTATATAATCTCCCTGAAAAGATATTCAGCACAGTAGTATTAATGCCACTGACATCATCGTTACGCGTAGATAGAATTGTGCGTTCAGTTAAAAATGTTGGGATTGACGTCTCTATCATATTCAATTATAGATAAACTGTAGAGAGTAATTCATTCAAATCTTGACATTTGTGTATTATTGATGGAAGGTTAACGATTTCTTGAGGATTGGTCCCAATCTAAAAAAAAGTGAAATCAATAAAAAAGTAAGTGTAAACACAATTTATTAATTTAAAATAATCTATATAATACAGGTTAAAGTAGTGTTATCTCCACCAAGAAATTTGCAAAATTAGCATTTTCATGGCCTTCATGATTCAAGCGCATATTCAAATCCAAAGTCAAGATATATATATGCTTCCATAGAACAGAGTGTCTTAATGATGCATTCACAATTTGCTCACGAACTCCTTTGGGTATAACTGGTAAGATTTGTTGAAAGTCTCCTCCAAGAACAATAATAATACCCCCAAATAGCTTTTCACTATCACAAATATCCCTTAATGTACGATCAACCGCCTCAACATAATGTCTATGTTGCATAGGAACTTCATCCCAAATTATGAGTTTTGTTTCTCTAAATAACTCAGCTTGTAATGATTGTTTGCTAAACCCACAAAGTGAATTTTCCAAGACATCTAACGGAATGGAAAATGTTGAATGTGCAGTGCGACCTCCTACCAGTAACAGTGATGCAATTCCAAACGGAGCCACAGTAACAACGATATGCCCAAGGCTACGACATTTTAATGCAATTGTTTTGTATAGAAATGTTTTCCCTGTTCCTGCACCCCCATTCAGAAAGAAAATAGTTCCTTTATTTTGGAAAACTGAAGAAGTGATTGTATTATAAGCATTCCACTGTCCATTATTGAGACAATCAATAGTAATTTGTGGATTTGCATGTTGTGCCTCACTCTGCAGTTGTTGATGTTCAACTATCAATCGATTACCAACTATTACACTCCAATTTGCAGTAGGTTGTGGCATGGGTGGGAAGTCAATTAAACTTTTGCCTGATTCATGAAGCATTTGATTCAAAAGATGGAGATAATAATCTTCAATTTGAGCCTCAGTTGGTTTAGAAATGACAAACAATGTACAAATCTTATGAGCAAGATCATCACATATATGCGTGAGAGCACTGGGTGAGAATAATACTAAACAATCTCCTCAATTGATATCCAGTTTTTATGACTGCAGCCTCTTTCAAGCATTGTATCCATTCTTCATCATCTTCTAAAAGCCCCCTTGCAACACATACTAATTTAAATGTATCATGCACAACATTATTGACCGTGCGTAAAGACTGTAACGACTTTGGTCCTTTGACAACGGTTAGTAACAAACGTAGATAAAATCTTTCACCACAATTACGGCTAGCAAAGTACATTCTACCAATTGCATATCCTCTTTCTCTTGATTTCCATCTCTCTTCTGACTTGAGCCAAACAAAATGTTGTGGAAATTTTTGATAAGTGAATGGACATTCATCTTCACTGGCAGCACAATATGCAAAGAAGCCAGTAAGAGTTGACATTTGTTGACCAGCTCTAGATTGAATCGTTTGTAATGACTCTTCTGGGTTAAAAACAACACGATGCATTCCAGGTAAATGAAGTGCCAATCGTACAACTATTGGCATCTCTGCATGCAAAGGATGACCAAATATTCGCCAAGCAGCTTCTGGAGGTCCAATATACCTTGCATCGAGATATTGTTGAATCTCATTTATCACTCCTAACACCTTCGTTGTACGATCATAACCCTTATAAATGTACTTATGTATATACTTGACACATCTCATTCCGGCACAAACTTCCACATTTATATGACAGTTGAAAAGTTTTGAAAGATATGCATTGTATGGTACGACATCCCTGTTATCAACTTCTTGCCCTCTCACAGTATGTACTTGACCATTATTGCGACGACGATAGATAGGGTATCCATCTTGATCCATAGTTATTGTTTCTGTGAAAGCTCGAGGGTATCTCTTAGTGCATCTACCATTTTCCATACATGGTGCTTGCGGATTTCGAGCACCACATGGTCCATGTACCATACAACATTTGATAGTTTCAAAAAGCATAGGATCATCTTTTGGGTCTGGAAATTCTGCACAGACCAATTTGTCTACTTGAGCATATGTCTGAATTTTGTCTGGATCCTTGAGAAATAAAAGTACATGCATATGAGGGAGGCCTTGTTTTTTAAATTCAATTGTAAAAACATGTGTAACTTTATTTCCAAACACTTTATTTGTTTCTATCTCCTTCATCAAACATTTTCTCTTCAACTAAAAAACACGGGCAATTAAATTAGGACGATCAATAGGTTTTTGATATGGTAATAATGCTGAAGTAATTTCTAGCCAATTGGGATTTGCAGTCATGGTAAGAAAAATATCTAGGTGTTGGTTGTATCGTGTGATAGCCATTGAATCTTGAAAGATTTCAAACATATATCTAGGACTACCAGTAAATGAAGATGGCAAAACAAACCTTTGACCAATTTGTCCAGGTCGCACATAATCTGGATCCATATCTGACAACTCTTGGTAAAGCTCAGCCCGAAGTTTCCTTTGATTAAGCTTGTAGCATGTCAATCGATTTTGCTCAGTTGCAGCCCAAGCATCTACCAAAAACTCTTGAAATAGTTTCCCTCTCTCAAAATTGTTAAATACTCTGTGGGTCGTTCAAACAAACGATAACTATAAAAATTTATTTGAGTAAGTCGATCAGTTGAAGGTCGATCATACTGAACATTCCACAATTTCAACTCAGGTTCCCATCCAAGCTCACCATATGAAAATAATATAATATAATGTAATGGCAAGTATGCTAGGTGACATTCATTAATTTGCATCAACTTATTATTTCCTCGGAAATGTAAAATAATACCTCTTATTCCATTTACCTCAGTTCCATCACCTGGTATTACAATTGCAATCTCATCTGTAGTTGGTAGGTTATACCGACGTCGATCAGTTGTTGAACTGTAATGAAGATGAGCTGGTAGATTGTGTCCTGCCGAGTCTAATTGATGTAAAATGGCATGAGCCTGGCGATTTTTATCTACAAATGCATTGACTTGCAACAAACTATCCTGAATAGTTTTGAGAACATCCCTTCTCAAGTTAGGATTTCTACGATTACGAATTTCTAAAGCTGAATAAGGGTCATAGATATACAACTGAGCATAACTCGCCTCCTGCCCTGGTTGTGGTTGTAATGATCCTGTTCGATGTCGCAATTCCCCATGAATTGTGAATGATGTAGGGCCCCTTCCACTGAGTACTCTAGGATCCAATGTAGCACCAAGATTCGTAAAAGTATTGGCAGCATTGTACACTCAAGTATAACTTCGAAAGGATTTTGATTGATCATTATTTCCATCATACAATGCCTGAAGTGGTGGAGGGGGTGTAATAAGTAAATGTAGCCTAATCTTTCCTTCCAAACAGCAAGTTCCGAATAAGAGATGCTTTATAGATGATTTTGTCAATTTTTCATCCATCCAATGTAAGGCTGAACAATAAGGACATAATACATCCATCTTGCCAAGATAATGACGGCAAGAATCTTTGTGTGCCCAGGCGTCAATTGATATACTCATAGGCAGATCTTCTAATTCATCATCAGTACATAGATCTTGTTGAAGAAATCGATTTATAAGAGCAGACCTACGAATCTTTGTGTATAAATAAAATTTTGTAAAACAAAACAGTGTGAGTAAAAGTATGTATTTCAAGATTAGACACAGTAGTTTACCGATTCCTTTGTGAATTTGAAAATGTGCTTGGCATAGAAAACGAACATGTAGAATGATGGGTAACCATTGTTCGTTTTGTGCCGACTGAGAATCTTCAGTTATTGTTTACCACTCCAAGTGAGTGCGATCGCGACGAATTGGTGTTAAAGAACATTGTCTTAGTTGAACACATTCTTCTAATCCCTCTTGCTCTCATTGCAAGCATTGAAATTCAATTTTTGCACACTCTCGCCGTGCCCGTTGGGCCAATGCAACTTTTGATATTACATTATCATTTTGTGCCTAAAAAGAAAATATTTTATCATTGAAGCAAAATATGTGAATATTTTGTGCTTAAAATGAAACTATCTTATTATTTCTTCCCTTTCTCTTAATTTTGTTATCTATTTTATTTGTTTTATACCTTTTATAGCGATCCTGGATTTACCCTTGTTGTACAGTGATCTGGACACGTGTCCGTGGATGTTGGTAGTTGATTATTATCTTGTTTACGTCTTTTTTACTTTGTATTTGAGTTATAGGATGTGTTGGGCAAGTTTGTTACAGGTTGGTTGAGTTTAGAAACCAAAACTAGTTGCCCAGATTTTGAATTCAAAGAGATATTTCA